TGAAAATCATTATCACAGACGTAAGGAAATAGTTTTGCTGTTTTTTGGATGATACCGTGGGAAATTGGAAATCTCTTGCTTTGTTGATGGTCAAATTATTTTGATATCAATATAAATGAAAATCTTGCAATAGACTTCTTCTACTAGGATCTAGCTACTTCCAGCCAAGAACTTCGTTGCCGATGCCGCATCCGCCAGTAAAGAAAACAAATTCCCAAACTGCATTTGACTTCAACTGCAACAAATCAAAAGAAGTGATGGCGCAAAGACTAAATATGGAAAATAGAGATTTGAATTGTTTGAATCAGGACCTGAAGGTATCAGGAACTCATGTATCGTATTTACCTAGGTTTAAACGTGAAACTACTTTCAGACACAATTTCTCGAAATTTTCGGTGAACCTGATCCTCAATATCACAGCGTTGCATGCGTCTGGACGAATAGTCATCGAGTAAGCGAGCTTTTCTTACGGTATCATGTTGATTTACTGTTCAAAAAAAACATGAGTCACTCTTTAACCCATGCTTTCTCGAAAAAAATTTTTCATTTTTCGCCAGGCAGTATATTCTCGCAAACTTTTTGTATGTGATCTAAATGGGAAGATGGCAAAGAGCTTATGAAATTACGGTCACTTCGAAACAGGGGCCGACAAAAACTTCAGAAACATTTCCAGATAGAAATCCGACGTATACGACAAAAGCAAAGCTCCTTATGCTGACGATGCTGAACTCAATTAAACATTCAAAAATTTATTCAGGTGTTTGAAATTACACGGATTTATTGTTACAAAATATTGACATTGATATTCGGTATTCCTGTTGCCTTCCTGGCCGGTTTCATCTTCGCACTCTTTTCCTTCGTTCGAATATGGATTGCCCAGGTTTGTAACTTGGTAAAAGCTTCAAAAACTTTTATTTATGTTATCTAAGTTACAAGTGACTGCTTTAGCCGACCTTCGCTATCGTTCGCATTATTCTGAGTCAACTACTCACTATATGGCCGACATTCCTTATTTACATCGTTCGCCCATTCTTCTACTCCGTTGGAGCTATCTTCAGCACTTTCCGAATGCATCGATCCGACGGACCTATCATTCGCGAAGTTTGGGAAAGTGTATAGTTATGTTCACTAGAGTGCACATCAGTATAAGTATGCATTCAGTATAGTGAGAGACTCAGTATGGTCTTTACAAGGTTGTTATTTGCGGGAACGTTGCGTCATAAGGGCATTCAGTGCCTTTTTGTCGGTTCCTATACCTGTACTCTTCTTGTAGAGTAGGAAAACTCTGCACGTCATTCGTTCTGAAACAAGTAACACTAAATTCATTCTGATATGTTATTGTTATACCATGAAAGTCCAGTCCTATTGGTTGTCGAGTGTTTTAACATTTCTTTCTCTTTTTTTTTGTGGTATGTCTCTGCAAATTGAACAACTAAGGGAGTTGCTGATAAGCATCAAACATTCTGTACACAAAACTAATGTTTTGTTTCTGTTTCCAACTTCACTTTATACTTCAAAAATTGGAGCTGGATAAGGTCTTCAAGCTCGTATTGGTTGCAAAACTGCGAATTTACTCTTTATCTTACATGCACAGTACAATAAGAATTCGTTCTTTCGAAAAATGAATATCGAATAATATTAATAATAATATAAATAATATTGATAATAATCGAAAATTTCAAATATTCAACAATGTTACATATTCGACTTTCTTATATCAATAGACTGAATATCTCCAAGATGACTGTCTACGATGGACATCGGAAGTCTGTATTCGGGGTAAAACTTCTTTTATAGTTAAAATTATGATGATAAGAGGCTTGGAAATATTCCAAGTTTCAAAACTCCAAAACCCTACTTTTGTGAAAATTGTGAAGGTGTTTTCAAAAATGAAGAATTTATTCAGATCAAAAAGTGGCGTCCCTGCGGGTCCGGTTACTAGATGTGTAACGGGCATATTTTAGAGAAGGGAGATCGACCATCATGCTAGAGTAATTACTTTTTTACCTGACGAGAAAGATAATATCGCTCGAAATGGATTCTATTAAATAGTAACCATAAATATAGCACCCAGCACCCAAATATGCTGAAGCTTTTCTGGAAGAAAGAGATCTACAAGAAAGCAAGCATCTATTCCATCAAATTGCTCTAATGCCACCTAAGAACTGATGCCTATTCGAAAGGTGCATGCTCGCGTACAAAAATATTTCCCTGTCCAGTCAAAACGCCTTATGTTCCCCTCTAAAAAGTTCTGTCGTTTCAATTTTGAAAATTTGTAACTTACTGCCGTCTCAACGGATTTGCTTTTTTTCCCATTGGAAAGAAAGTCTTCCTCTTTGCATTATCTTCTCGATGAGCTTCTAGTAAACATTCATTGCAGAGATAAAAATGGAAAAGAGGACCAATTGAGCTTTGACCATTCTAAGTTAGGTCGCCAAATCTGGAACGCTGCAAAGAAATCTGAAATTGCCAGCACATAAGTTTTATGACCTGCACTATGCATCTGGAAAAAATGTGCTAACTGGACGTTTCTGAAAAGTTATAATGTTCGAGTTTACAATAGAAAACGCCAAAATTGATTAATTTGTCGATTTTCTCGAAAATCATAACCCTTTCCTCGAAACGTCTGAAAAAAAACCAAAGTTTATCTCAGATGCAAAGAGTAGGCCATGAAACTTGTATGCTGACAGTTTCAGATGTTTCTGCGGCGTTTCAGACTTTTGGCGACCTAATTTTGAATGCTTAAAGCTCAAATGTTCTCCTTTTTCCATTTCTATCTCTGCAATAAATTTATAGTTGAAGCTCAACGAGATACCTCTCAAAAGATGAAGATTTCTTCTTTTTGAAAAAAATTAAAAAGAAGCAAATCCGTTGAGACGGCAGAAAATTACAAATTTTCAAAAATAAAACAGAACAGAAACAGAACAAACAGACCCTGATATAAGATGGAACCTTACGATTCCAAGAGAAAACAACGAAATCAACAACTCACAACACATTCTTAATGCCCTAACGATCACCTAGAGACCGTCAATCATGAGAACCGTCCCAAAGGTACCAAAATCTGTTTCTCTGTCTAATTAAAATGTCCTACGTGCCGTTACAGGTCGATATTTATCAAAGGCGCCAGCGGGTCTCAGTTACCCAAGAAAAAGGCGTTCTTATTCAAACACCTCTAAGAGTACCAGCGAGCCCCAGTTACTCACGCGCAATTCTGTTGCAAGTGGAAGCAAGACTGTACCAAGCGAATGTTTTTAAAGCATTTTTTACCAAGTTTTGCAAGAACGCACATGTATTTACTGAAGTCATGCTGTTACGCAATTCGGCATCATCTCAAAAGCAAGGAGTACAACATACCTAGCAAGTGGGTAAAGCAGATATAAGATACTTCTGCTGCCGAGTGATCCTCCGGATAACTAGTAAGTGGGTAGGCAAATAATTTGTAGTTCTTAGGTGACCCTACAGGGCAGATAATTTTTAGCGCCATAGGCCCTGCGTGTCGCTAGCAAGTGTGTAACGCAGATAATTTGTAATGCCTAGATGGCCCTACACGTCGCTAAAATGGGCAGATAAATTCCTGTGTCTAGGTGACTTTACGGGTCGCCAGTAAGTGGGTAGGAGAGACAATTTTGGTGCCTAGGTTCCTCACAGGTCATTAGCAACTGAGTGAGAATAATTTGTAGTTCATAAGTAAGCAAGTTTACAGTTGGAAGCCCGCTACTGCTAGACATCAAAATCTCATCGACCCCATTTTGGAGGGACTTTGCCTTCAAGATTGCGCTGCAAAAAGGCTACATATAAAAAAAACGATAATCTAACATGAACAAGGGCAGTAGTCTTTTAAGGGAGGGTCAGTTGAAGTGGCGAATCACTACAAGATGCATAGAATTACGAAGAGCCTGAAGCGCTGATTCAAACTGTCTTCCTCATGTGCAGAACAAGTCTGAGAAAGAAGTTGAGGACTTTTATTTGAGGAAAATTTGCAAGGTTGAAAGAAGTCAGAATTGCCAACACCTGGGCATTTTGGACTCAAACCTACTTAGAACAGATTATTCATGCTTGATGTTGCTGACCCTTTTTCAATATTGTGCTGTAGCAGAGAGCAATTTGAACGAAATTCATTGTTGATCAATCAAACTCATGCAAATTTTGATGATTAAAACATAACTTCCTTCCTAGAGGCATTCGGCAGACATGAAGGACAGATTGGAAATTAGTGCTCCAAATTATTTTCGACGGTATGCATCTCGTGGTAATGGGCCAGTTCGACTTCGCGAATGTCTCTTGTTAAGATGCAGTTAAACACATCTCACTAGTGCAACTTTGTATACCAGAACAAACTCATGCATAAGTCATGTGCAAACATTATATCCACAAAAAACACTTGCTTTTTGAACATCGAATATCTAAAAAAATTGGGAAGAACACTTTCGGACAATTTGGATTATGAGGATTGTTATCATAATTGTTTCGTAGGTTTCTAGCTTTTTTGGTACTCATTTCGTAGTTTTGTACTAGTCGCAAAGTTATGGAGAGAAAGGAAAACGAACCTCGGCCCTTTACCATGCTAAGGAAGCGCTCTGTCACTGAGTTAAACGCTTCCGCAAGAACTCTTTAACCTTTTTCCTCTCTGTCTTGTCTCTTTTTCATTTATTAGCCGCTAAAAAGTGATTATCAGTCAAAAGGTCATGCACAATATACCTCACCTTCGGAAGTATTGCTACCTTGAATGTTCATAGTAACAGAAATTCGGAACTTTATATCTTTATAGGCGCAATTTAAATCTATCTTAACTTCTTACTGTTATGACATAAGCTTTTTGTGACTAAATATCTATCGCTAGAGATAAATACTGCTATTTCATCTTAATACTCAGTAAATAGTTTTAGGCAAAACATTGTCCCTGATAAATCAAAAGACATTGTGAATGGCACACATTTCTTAACAACTTTTTATCGCACTGATATGCATCAGATAAATTTGTGATCCTCTTCAAGCATGGCTACTTGTAATGGAGCACTGTCATGCCCACGTATTGTTGCACGCCTTTTCGCACTCTTCATCTGTCTTGAAAAAAAGGGCACCCGATTTATCCCAGCCTGCTTTTACGACTTTTTCGTAGGTTTCATTTGTCTCGACCCCATAGCATCCTTCTTCAGGATCGCAAACGTAGAAGACGTTCCTGGAACAAAGTAGAACAACAGTTTTTTGCTCCGTCCAAAGCAGTGAACTTATGAAGCGATCTTCTCGCGTCAAAGGCGGCATTTTCCAACCGCACTCAGTTTATGACTTGAGTTGAGGCTATTGCAGTAATACGGTGAAAATAAGGTGCTTCACATTCCGTTCGGACTGCCTTCTAAGGCCCGTATGCACGTACATCCACGCTGGGGAGGGGAGGGGCTCTGAGAGAGGATGCGTCATATCTCGCTACACTACGTATCTTTCTTCTTCTTTCTCTATCTTGCTTATGAAGTTTTTCATACACTTATACCTCCGTATAATGGGTGCCAGATTACTTTCATACAAGCTTGGTTTTTTACCATTTTGTGTGATCCCCTGGGAATCCCCTGGGTTTACCTCTCATTTTCAAAGTGATTTATCTTCCTGAGAAGTCAATGAAAACGCTGCAAAATTGTACTGAGGATATACTACGGCACTGCTAAGCATGTTTTCGACAAGAGAAATGGATTCTAAAGATTGTGAATTTTTCGATGATCCCTAGCTCGCGAGCTACGGATTACGGAAGATTTTGATATCCTGAGATTTCACTTATTTCTGCTACATTTTTAGCAGTGCCGTAGTATACCCATAGTACAATTTTATAGCGTTTTCACTGAGTTTTCAGGAAGATAAATGCCTTTGAAATTGAAAAGTGATCCCCTAGGGATCCCCTGGGTATCCCCAGGGAATCACACAGAATAGTGAAAATCTAACTCAGACAAATGACCGAAACTTCCGCAAAGTGCTTGCGGAAGTTCCGCCGGGTCACCTGCGAGAGTTCCGTAAACGTGCTGCGGAAGTTCCGAAATGAGGTCCTGCGGAAGTTCCGAAGAATGCCAACCCCAACAGCAAAAGAGAACACCGATGCGAGATTTGAACCTCACTCTATTGACTGTGAGACTCACCTACTATCCTTTACGCTACGGCTGATATGTTCGATAATGCACTCTAGTTGTTGGCGAGGCTACATCACAAAACAAGACATTTAAAGCCGTGCGGAAGTTCTGGCAGGCTAAAGTGCTGCGGAATCTCTGGCATTTTTCAGAATTTCCGCAGGATTTTGAAGAAGGTTCTGCGGAAGTTCCGGTGATTTGTCTGAGAATCAATTATGCCAGTAATCTGGCATCAATTATGCGTAGGTATTAGGGTATGAGAATCTTTATAAGCAAGATAAAGAATGAAGAACCTAGAGTAGCGAGGTATGACGCATCCCCTCTCAAATCCCCTATTAAAGCAGTTCCGGGCTGTTCTCCTCTCACGGGTGTAGTTTTGCACTATTATTTAAAAGTACGATTATATTATTGAGTAGAGGTTTTTGGAAATATCGAGTTTACAGGTGAATGGTCAGAAGTTGAAGTGGCTTGATTACCAACAGCATTGAAAGATGATTTCCAATTCCGCATATCTACTTAGCGTATTTGTGGACGAAGTTATGGGCAGCTTTATTGCGAAAAAATCGTGCCTGCGAAATTGAGCACATTATTGCACTTTCGCTCACCTTTGTGCTTTGAGATTATAAAGTAACCTAGCTGCATATTTCTGCCTAAATTAAGCCGAACATGGCTCTATGCCAAATTTGCGCTTTGTATGCACGATTTTTTAGCAACATAACGACCTTTAACGGGTTATAACTTTGTTCGCATATGCCTAAGCAGATATGGATTACGGATCCGAAATTATTGTTAAGCTGCACCACACGCTAGGCAGCTAGTTTGGGTCACTTCGATTTCTGACCATTTTCTTGTTAGCATAAAAATCCGAAGCAAGTGATATCTTCTAACATCACCTTTTAGTTCTCTTAAGCAGCAAATGAAATTAGGAAGTGCATCTTTATACCGTGTGCACACTACATGTTCACGAGCGAGAGTTTATTCTGGACGGAGGGAAATTTTCGGACAATCAAATGTTTTCAAGTTCTAGCTTGAAGCGCTTGCTTCAAATCTAAACCGTTTCTAGGAGTCACCTCCTACAGCTCGTCCTATGAAATGTTGTCCCGCTTCTTTATTTCGGCTTAACCTGCCGCAGTAGTATGTGTGACAGAACTCTCGCTTAAATTATAAGTAGAAAACTTGGCTAACATGGGAATGATACTTGGTCGAAGTGATGTTTTCCTTTGAAAATGTATATAAGCTCATAGCACTGATTCCAAATCCAAATCTGCTTTCGATATCTGCATCTGAAAAAGGATTTACGCGAATTTTTTGAGGCGAAAATTCATGCTTTTGACTAACAAGGGAGGTCCGATTAGTCGAACTGGCCTTTTCAAATGAGTCTTACACCACTTTGAAGAGCATCAAACGCTGATTCCAAACTGATTTCATTATCTGCCGAGCGCCTGTGCATGCCGAGTTATGAATATTTATTTGGTGCGAAAAATGAACGCATAATCTAGGTAAAATCAAATTTTACGGTGTTTTCAGCGCTCAAATAGAGTCGTGTCCAGGGTCAAGCAAGGGGTGGGGGTGGGTGTGGCACACGATCGCTGGTTACGACCCCCCCCCCACTGATTGCTGTCTTAATAAGACCTCCCCCCCTGAACTATACACTTAAGATAGCATTACTTGTAGGCCCTGTCAAACATAATGGGCAACATATCCATAATTAGCATGTCAAGTAACCCCTGTAGACAAAGTGTGAGCGAATTCTGAAGATTCAAGATACTAGGCTACCTAAGTGAAATGGTCAAATTCCAACATGGTTAACTTTGTTTGAAAGGTGAACTAGCTATCCATTTTTGCACTCAAGACAAAGCACTACTCCTTCTTTGTCCACCTCAGGAATCCCGCTTCAGAAGACCTCCAAACTGTGGAATTAGAAGCCAGCCAAAATCTCGTTTTTCCCATTTTTCGCTTTTGATCGCTGTGCTTTCACCAAATATTACTCAGAGCAGAGAAAACGAATCAGGCTCAAATCACTCCTGTGAAAACTAGGAGATCTAGGCTATCGACCCATATAAACAAGGTTTGCTAAAAATGTTTTATGATATAGTTAATGGGGTGCGGCACACCCCTTTAAGAGCTGCGGCCGTCGCAGCTTTTAAGGGGGTGTGCCGCACCCCATTAACTATATCAAAAAAACATTTTTAGCGGACAGTATTTAAATAAATCGATAGCCTAAACCTTGTAGATTCCATAGGGCTGCTTGGAGCCTGATTCGTCTTCTTAGCTCTGAGTAATATTTGTTGAAAGCACAGCCATTAAAAGCGAAAAATGGGAAAAATGAAATTTTGGTTGGCTTCTAATTCCACAGTTTGGAGGTCTTTTGAAGCGGGATTTCTGAGATGGACAAAAAGGAGTAGTGCTATGTCTTGAGTGCAAAAACGGATAGTAATTCATCTTTGAAACAAAGTTAACCATGTTGGAATTTAACCATTTCACTTAGGTAGCCTAGTATCTTGAATCTTCAGAATTCGCTCACACTTTGTCTACAGGGGTTATTTGACATGCTAATTATGAATAGGATACGAATATCATGTTATCACTATTATCAGATTACCCAACTACGACCCCCTCCCCTTATGAGTCCTCAATACGACCCCCCAGGTGTGGCGTGCCGCACCCCAAGCTTGACCCTGATCGTGTCAACTATGAGTGCTTTGGACCGAATGTGTTGTTCAAGTGAGTGCTCTGATAATCAACATTGACCGTTTGAGCAATTTTGAAGAATTTTGTGCTAATTATGCATTCAATTTTTCAACCAAAGAAAGGCTCATAACTCGACGTCCGAAGGCGCTCGGCAGATAACGAAGACAGATTTGGAATCAGCCTTTGAAGCTCTTTATAGCCGTCTCAATTTCTTGTAAAAAGGCCACTTCGATCACTTGTAAGATTAATGCGGATATAGCAGTCTTTCCAGCGCTTGAAGGTGGTAACGATTGGTATAAATTTATTAGACTAAAGATATACTATATTGCATGAAACTTCTAAAAGAAATTACAGCTTCAAATGAGCCCACAGGCTACAGTTCCTAATGATTCTTGTAGTGGCGAATAAAAATTATTGCTTCAAAAAATTCCCAGATTTTTGCTTTAAAAAATCCTCATAGCTCTCCTCTCAGAAGAGCTTTGCAAATGATTAAAACAGAATTGAAACCAGCGTTCTGTCTATAAGACCGATTAGATTCGAATTCCATTCAGAAACGGCACTTCCTCCAAGTATTCTTTCCCAGTCAGGGATCATGGGCCCGCAAAGATTTTGAGGCGCACCCCACAAAAATTTTAGGAGTGCCGGCCAACGCCATGCACCCTTATTTGGAAAAAGTTTGCTTTTCCCCTGGGCGAAAATCTTGCGACCGCCACTGTCCTTTCCTTTAAGTAGCATAGCAATCTCCCGGGCTCTCCTTCCCTGCTGACGAGTTTCTGGAGTTCCTAGAGATTTTGTAGGCAGCGTTTGGAAAAAATCATGGGTTTTGAATTCCACAACGTTGCAATAGTAGACCCCACCAGTAATCCATCAGTGAAATTCAAAACAAAAGAAACGCATTTGGAACGTCTAAAATCAACTCTGAAAATATTCCGGACCCCACCCACTTAACACTTACACGTGAACACGGACGTGAAAAGCCTCAAAGAAAGCTCTTTTTAGCCATTTTCATGAGCTGAAAGGCCTGAATATGGTTTCAGCATTACGAAAAGGCTTCGAAAAGGTGAAAGACCGGGAAGCAAAATTCTGCAAGGACAGTGTCTTTGAACTCCGCCCAAGAGAAGGAATAAAACGGAGGAGCAGTAATATGTAGTTTCAACTACAAAGGTGATTTTCATTACCTTTCTATGGAACCAAACAAAGTTTTCATATGTATTCATTTTTGTCTAGTAAATTCTGTTTGATCTTACATCCCCGCTTCTTCTTCCACTGACTCTTTGTTTGACAGTGCTATGTTGCATACGCCGAAAAGACATATGAAGATTAAGGTTTTCATCGCCTTCTCTGCGAGTACCTGCAGAAAAATAGATACAAAATGAATCAATCACCTGAAAATCTTATAGATAGGGCCTCCCATCAGATAAGTCCATCTTCAGATAAGTCCAATACAGACGAGACCACTTTTTGCCAAGAAAAAACGAGAAAGGATGAGGGGCTTAAAAGCTAAGCTCGCCTGTCTTGAGCATGAGGAAATGCACCTATGCGTACAGCATACATAAAAATAAACCAAATATAAATAAATCAAATATAAACCGGCCAGCAGCGCGCACAACTGTTCGCGCTGCTGGCCGGTTTATATTTGAAAGAAGCAGTGACCCGCTTGCAAAAGGTAAAGTGTAAGTTAGGCTAGGTTCACACTGATTAGTAACTTCCGGAACTGTTGCAGCACAGCGCAGAGTTAGGGCGCTATGCTGCGACTGTTCCAAACTTACGGATCACTATGAATCGGGTGGGGGACATTAGGTCGCCGAAAAAGGGCGGTCTCCGCGGTCATTTGTGACAAACACGTACCCTTGTACATGCGCGGACATGCGTTCCTGCAGGGAATCCGCGCGGGACTCTTCCAAATTCGGCGACCTAATGTCCTCCACCCCTATGAATCCAGCCTTAGGAAGCAGTGCAGATCAGTTGAGAGAACGTTGCGAGAGAGGTGAGTTTTCCTTCTCGGGTATGTCAATGCTTGTCTATACGCACTTGATGACACAAGTAGTAAGTTCGGTTTCCACCCCATTGCCTTCATATACTAGGTCAGGGAAAATTTTCAATTTAGGCCAACTATAACATGTGCATCGCTTACAAAGCCTTGCGATTACATGGGCACATTCTGGATTATAATGTTAATACACTATGATTGATGCCTAACAATTTCAGTAAGCTAGAGGGGCAGAAAGTGCTCATAATTCAGTAAAAGACTTCATGAAAGTGTTTTGAATACATTATATGTTTCACTGAGTCTTGCGACAAAAAAATCATGTCAGGACCTATGGGTATTATCATCTTAATAATCGATATTAGGTTGAAAATAAGTTTTGCAACTGCTTTCATAACTTTACTCTTTCAGAACTTAGCGCACTCAAATTTTAGCTATATGTAGACTTCAACTCCCCTGGGCCACAATCGTGCACAGACTGTTCAATTTTTGGAAACGAAATTAAAAAGTTACAAAAAAATACAAAAATTCCCGAAGCTAATAAAATTTAGAGGATTCGTGAATTTATAAGCAAAAAAAGCCATTGCAACCCAATCAGGCATGATGACCCGAAACCATATGTGAATTATTGCTTAAGGTTGACTCATTTGGCTCAGTAGGAAAGGAATAGAATTGCAAGACAGGTCGAGATTTAGCGAAGGACACAAGGCTGGTGAGGACGATTATTAATGACTAAGGAGAAAAAACGTCATCCGCGGATACTTCACATGGTAAGGTTGATCGATTTGCTAAACACGAATATCATATTCGTCTGTTAGATTAACGTCTTTTCTATCGTTTAGGTCACCTTATACTGTAAAGACAGTATCTTACAGCAAAACCCTTAGCGTGTAAGTTCACTATGTTATTTGTGATCAGCATGTCGGATAACGCCCCTACGCCAAGTTACAGCCAAATCCATAATGATCACTATGTTATTTGTGATCAGCATGTCGGATAACGCCCCTACGCCAAGTTACAGCCAAATCCATGATGATTATTTTTCCCTTTATACCATATACCTAAAATCCTCACTGCGACGTCAGAATTTGGCGCAACAGCAGCTGTGCTTGTAGTTTACGTCATAACCTAATATTGGCGAAATATGAGTGCTTCATGCTAACCGAAAGCAAGATTATTCAATAAATTGCAAAACTTAGTTTCCAACCCAATACATGCTGTTATCAGCAGTTCCATTCTGAAGGCATTTGTTAGAAAGAAGGGCTGTGCTCCTAACACATCAAGAACTTGTACAACTGTACAAAAAGTAGGATGCTAATTTGCTTCCTCTGTTGTTCTCATAAAGATTGACCGATAGTCCTTCTTGAGCTATTTCTGCCTATCGCGTATCGCCTGAAAGCACTCGAAACTGACAAAGCATTAGGCTCGTTTTTTCATCTTCAGTTTTTTTTGCATTCGCAAAAAAGCATCTTCATTTTGGTTTTTTGCTTTTACTCAATCTATGTTCGCGAGAAAAAACAGAGGTGATTTGATATCTTTCTTGCAAGGAACGATGCGGTTGTTTTAGTATATGAGTAAATAATGGTCCTATCCTGTCAAGCTTTGTACGTAAGTCTCAGCTTCCCTTATAGCTTCCTGAACCGAGAATCTTTTTCAATCAATGTCCATCGAAAAGACCACTTTAACACCTTCTGTTTTCAGTAAAAAATGGAGCTTTCGCTAAGACAATTCACCGGAACTTCCGGGGGCAAGCATAATTTGCAGCAGTCCCGCAGCACTTTCTTAACCAATGAGAAAGTGCACGGCTCACTATGCAGGGTTTCCACAGGATATTGATGTCAGAGCGATCGTGAACCAGAACTTCCGCAGGACTTTCCATAGAGCATGCGAAAATGCAATAAAATCGCAAGGTTTCCGCAGCACTTTGACCTGCCAGCATTTCCGCAGGAATTTGAGGGAGCATGTGCTTACAATTACGAGGCAGCAAACGCATCTTTAGCAATAAAGCGCATAGCCCATTCCTTTTTTCTTTCATACTGCTTCGCTTCTGTTCCTGTTCTTTTCTTTTTCTTTTTCTTTTTTCTTCGTTGGCGTAAGTATACTTATACTTATCCATATTCCAAGTATTCTTGCAGGCATCGGTGCGAGTGTGTGAACAACCATCACCAAGTTGCTGGAATAGGACTCAACGGAGGGACTTTATTCGAGCACTTTTAGCTCTTATTCATGTATGTCCATTTTCTTTGCTTTCTTTACTTTGTGGAGTAGTAACCCAGATAATTTGAAACTAATACTTTTTAGAAAATATGTATTGGATGTTTAAACAAAGCAGAAGTAATTTGGTAGAAGTATATCAAAACAAAGGGGATGTAGGTCACGAAATTCTTTAAAAGTGATCTACAAGCTTTGGTAAATGATTTTTGGAAATTTTCAGGATTTAACGTGGTTGTGGACAATTTTCGATAATGTGCTGAAAATCGCGTGTGTACATAAATTGGCACAGCAAAAATTCAACCATTCCCGAATTTTCTTTTGCTAGAAGTGTCTACACGCCCACACCCAAAAGTTTCAGTCCCTCCCTCCCCCTCCCTTGAGAAAATTTCTCGCACCGCCACTGCTTCGTGTGCCTATCTTTTTCTTCTACTCTCTGCTTCTAATGTTCTCAAAGCCTTTCCCTTTCACAGTACCGCACACTTCGCAAAATAATAATTTTTGTGTTAAAGATCGAAAGGATTTGAAAGTAATATAATAATTGAAACAATAGCTCAAGGAACTACTACTTTTTACTAGGAACTCGTACTTTTTACCTATTATAATAATCTTATATATAAAGCTGAATGTCTGTTTGTCTGTATGTCTGTATGTCTGTACGTATGTTCCGAATAGAAAATTTCATTTCTGAACCGATCCGGACCAAACTTGGCACACATACACTTCGGGCCCCGGCGGGTGTCATAGGCTACTTTTCGTCATCGATCGATATCGATTTTATCGATTTTTATCGATTTTTTTGCTGAGTTCACCTACGGGGCTGGGAGTTGGCACAGGGGGGTAATCGAGCATGGGGATTCCGAATACAATATTGGTTTTCAGGATTATCGATTACTTTTATCGATTTTATCGATTTTTTTGCAAAGTTTGAGCTACGGGGCTGGGAGTTCGCACAGGGGGGTAATCGAGCATGGGGATTCCGAATACAATATTGGTTTTCGGGATTATCGATTACTTTTATCGATTTTATCGATTTTTTTGCAAAGTTTGAGCTAGGGGGCTGGGAGTTGGCACAGGGAGGTAATCGAGCATGCTGATCATCCCCAAGGGGGTGATCAGCATGCTCGATTACCCCCTGTGCCAAATTCCAGCCCCCTAGCTCAAATTTTCAAAAAATCGATAAAATCGATAAAAGTAATGGACGATCTTGAAAACTAATATTGTATTCGTAATCTGCATGCTCGATTACCCCCCTGTGCAAACTCCCAGCCCCGCAGGTCAAACTTTACAAAAAAATCGATAAAATCGATAAAAGTAATGGACGATCCTGAAAACTAATATTGTGTTCGTAATCAGCATGCTCGATTACCCCCCTGTGCAAAATCCCAGCCTCGCATGTCAAAATTTACAAAAAATCGATAAAATCAATAAAAGTAATCGATAATTCTGAAAACTAATATTGTATTCGGAATCCCCATGCTCACTTCCCCCTGTGCCAACTCCTAGCCCTGTAGGTGAATTCTGCAAAAAAATCGATAAAAATCGGTAAAATCGACATCGATCGATAACGAAAAGTGGACTATGACACCCGCCGGGGCCCGAAGTGTATGTGTGCCAAGTTTGGTCCGGATACGGCGGAGCCGGGTAAGCCAGCTAGTACTGAATAATCTTCAAACAAAATAGATATAATACGGTAAGAATATACCGAAGGGACATAGTGGGTATTTTCATGGTAGTCTACGAACTCCCTGTAGATAATGGGATGATTCATTTTATGATCAGTTCAAAGTAGCCATGTGGGCAATCTCCGAAGATGTGGCCTCTTACAAGTCTTGTCTTCTAACTACATCGTGCATATCGCAAATATTTTTTGTTCAAAGACTGCAAAGATTTGAAAGAATAATTTGAAACCATAGCCAAGAATTTCACTTAATATTTATTATAATAATACTGAATAATCTTCATATAAAGTAGAAATAACGTGATAGAACTATATCAAAAGGAAGGGGAAGAGGCATAATGGGTCTCAAGAGTTTTCTAAGTAGTCTATGAATTCTCTGTAAATAATGAAATGATTCAAAACTTTTTAAAACTCCGGAGCAGTTTTTTAGGCAATTTTCGAAGGTGTCGCTCACTCCACGCCCCTTTCTGATAAAAACTCGAAGGCACACAAAAATTAAA